TGCATAAATCGAGAAATGGTCCAATTAAAAAATAATAATAATAATAAAAAATGAGGGGTTTGGAAAAAAAGGGCGCCAGGCCGAAAACGGCAAGCTTAGCAGCAGAAACAGCAAAAGGATAGACCAGGGATCGAGCCCTCAGGCTGGCGGAGTCCGTAACAGTTCGGGTTGTTTCCCCAAAAAAAAAAAACCCTACTCTGGGGGATGCTCATAGAATGTCTAGACACCCAGTTAAGCGGTGGACCCCACTGTCTGGCAGAAGGCGGAAAGCTTCCGCCAAACCCAAATCATAGGCCCCAGCTATGGGAAAGAGAAAAGCAGACGCCACTGCAGCACACATTTTTGGCAGTTCCGTTGGTGCCGGTTACACGATATATGGAAACTTCACGTCCGCTTGTCTCGGTTCTCACCCAATCCCTGGCTCTTCTTTCCACATCGGACGCCGGCCGAACCAAGGCAGGTGGTCCCCCCCTACCCCCTCAGAACGGGCAAAACAAAACTGAGTGAAAACGTCTGCCACGTCATATCTGAACGTTTTCCAAAGCTTTGTCGCAAAGCAGTGGGGTTTCACAAATCGTCTTTCAAAGCTTCGCCGCAAAGCAGTGCGGTCCACCTCTAAACCACCAGTACCTCCGCGTTCTTAGGCCATTAACGCGGTGAACGAATTGGCCTGCCGCGCAGGACCAAATTCTTTCGAGTCACAGAGGGGTCCTAAGAATGCGGTAGGTACTGGTGGTTTAGTGGCCGTAGAGGTATGGAGAGCAGATGGTGGCCGTAAGCCTACCGAGGACGGAAACAGGGGATGTTCTACGTTTGAATGGCCTCCGCTAGAGTTCAAGAATAACCAGTCTGAGAGGGATCTGTTTTTTTTTTTTTTTTTTTTTTTTTTTTTTTTGGGATCTGATTATGATATGGCTAGGATACCTCTAACAGGAAAAACAAAACAAAACTAGAGTTTGCCTATGGGACCTGTAGTAGCATGTTCACCGCGAGCGCTCGAAGTGCCCGGTACGACATGGCTTGTTCGATAGTCCTTCAATCAGGGCAGCTGGGAAGGGTGGTGAGAACCTGCCTACCCCTGATGCCTATAACCGCTGTCCGGTCAAAGATCACTAGAATGCCAGTGGGTGATGATCCTGGGTGTACTCAGATAGGACCTTGGGAGTAGGGATGCGCCAGGGATAGTTGTGACGAGGAAGGGTGGGAGGGTGTCTCATAAAGGGCCGGTAGGCAATGCATCAGGATCATCCATGGCCAGTTTCTGAGGGGCCTGTCATACACCTGGTACCCATGCTCTTCAACAACCTGGCCTTTTTTTAAGAAGGGCACAAAAACAAAACAAATACAAAAGGAAGTGTGCGGACTCATCAGGTCAACAGAACAAAACTAAATGTGCAAAATGACCATAAACCTATAGAAAAAGCAATAAAACAGAAACCTAGACACGTATCCTCTACTTCTGTTCTTTCTATACTCTTCTCTCAACTTCTGTTTCTTTACCTTCCATTACCTACTCCTAAGACTATCTAGAGGGGACCCCTGCAAGCATAGTTTCCTCTCTCTGTGAAGGGGAGATTTCATGTTGCCCCTTGCCCGTAATGGGTAGGGTATAGGGTTGGGGCCGCCAGTGGGGGTCTGGCTAACACAAAGACCGAGACCTGCCAGTAGCTGTGCCTCCCTTTCTCATCGTCCCCCACCCTTCATCGAGTAGCAGCAGAGGCTATGGCCAACACTCTCCCACACACCACACACCACACACAACCCACTCGCGCTCACACTCACACCCGTGTTGGTCATAGACCCCGCTAATACCGATCAGGGGTATCCAGAGGACTATCACAGTCCGTTGGGACTAAGTGCGCCGCAGGCGGCCRTGGGGCTTGAACCCACAACCTCCTGAATGCCACTTGCATGCCTAACCAACTGAGCTTTG